CCCGCGGATTGTGCCTCTACGTGCTGTATCCCTTCCACTATAACTTGCGATAAGTTTACAGGGTGTTACCCACTCACAAATACGGGCTCTACTACGTCGTGCACGGGAAATGCTGGCTGCAAGTCGTCTTGTTGTACCTGACCTCAAAACTAATTTCTGACTTCGATTGAACAACAGGGAGAGTCGAGCAGCTTTTTCATGTGTATATTTACTTAAGATATATCTTATTGTGCTTGGATATGAGTGCATCCATTACAATCGAGGCACCGGGTCAGGTAGGGATCAACCGCTGTAATTTGGCAGTCGATGTAGTTACCCCTATTAACACGGGATCAGACTTTACAATCGAGTCCACAATCAAGACATGCATGCCTACCCCATCTGCTGTGACGTGCAAGACTGAGGCATATTGTGTACTTTTCGAAGGGTATGAAAATTTTCATGCGTATATTTACTAAAGATATATCTTATTGTACTTGGATAAGAGTTACTACTTCTTGCACATGTAGCACAAGATGGTGTATAAAGATGGACGTTTCGATTTGGGATATATTGCAACAAATATGATTATGCCAGGGAACTATTTTTCTCATGGAACATTGACGAGCAGCTTTTTCATATGCATATTTACCAACTACATATACATATATATATATATATATATAAACATGTACATGTACAACATGTACGTGTACATGTACGTATACATCAACCCTCACGGATCAAGTGCACACCTTATAATTACAGCTGGAGAAGTCGGAGGCAAACGTTCAAATCTTTCAGGATCATTCCGAGCTTTATTTAATAATGCAATTATTGGGGGCCTTTAAAGGGTGTAAACAGTATATACCATCGTAAGTGACTCTGCTGTCGGTTCGTGATTTCACTGGCTTTCTTGACTCGCTTCCTTTTTGTATTATAAAAGTATTGCACGCATAAACTCCCACAAAAACTCGCACACGTGTCTCGGTAGCCTCTACATCAACCACCTAACCGATCATTTCAGCGACCATCGGTGATGGGTAGGGGGGCGTTCGGGACAGCTTACCGTGGCATCGAATTGGTGACAAAGCTTACGTATGTGCAAGTTTCTGTGCAAGTTGATATAAATGTAAATGCTTCGCATGAAATAACGCTGGCCGCGCACCACCTTTTCAGGTTGATCGTCAAGGCACTACAGAGCGAGACCGACTTTGAATCGAACCGCACCAGCGTGGAGCACGAGGTCGAGCTGCTAGACAGAATCACCGGCCTACTCGTGTCCAAGATACTTGATGAATAACAGTCGCTACGGTGAGCGAAACGAAATTTATTCGTTAGGGCTGGTTCGCTCAGAGTTGTTTAGTGGTCGTGTGTTGGAGTCCATGAGCGACGAGGAGGACGTTGACGATTTCCGTGTTAACGTCGAAAGCGGTGGTCTGCACATCGATGCACGATGCGATAGCGACAATGCCGCAGCAAAGAGCGCGCTCGAAAACCTGAGGGGTGTGGCGCAACGGTGTCTAGGCAGATCCAAACTACAACGGGCCGGGGCGTGTCAGGGATACACACGAGCTGCTGTGCCCCAACCACCTGGGCGAGTGCCTGGCAGTTCCCTACACGAATGCGCAATTCGCAGCGGTATTGGAGGCCGCAGCCTACGAGACGTACTTGCGCAGCATCATGATTGTGCGTGAACAGGAACTTGAACAGCAGTTCCGGAACGACCTCGAACGCACGCTGGCAGAACGCCAGCAAGAGTCGGACATTGACAGGCACATACGCGTGAATGATTTGATGCTGACCTTACGGTGTCCCAATAGCCTGTGTCGGAGAGCACTGATTGATTTTGACGGGTGCACCGCTTTGACATGTGATCTGTGCGATCGAGCCTTCTGTGGCCTTTGCTAGGAGGACAGTGGTCGCGACGCACATGTGCATGTGGCCCACTGCCAATGGAACCCCAATGAAGACGGCGATGTTTTTGTTGAAGAGAAAAGTGTAGTAGCGATTCAAGACCGTGTGAAAGGTGCAAAGATAACGGACACAATCTCAAGCGGTGAGAATTGGGGTGAAAGAGAGACTGACAGCCGAGTTAGAAGAGTTGGGTGTTGAGTTGCCGTGATTAGTGCTGCATGCAAGTCTACAAGAATAAGTGCTACATACATACATATGTATACATGCATACATATGTTGTCCCGTGCACGGTTGGTCAGGAGGCCAAGTATTGGCAATACCGGAACCGACGCGACTTCCAAAAAAAGACATGTAGAGACAGCGCGTGTAGGCTTTATTGCACTACACACGACACTTGCTTGTTTGGGTATAAGTTTATTGCATTGTGCGACAAAAGCAGTTGGATCGATCAGTTGGAAAAGTCGGTTTTTAAAAATGTCACGATGGTATAGTAAGTGGCATGCAAGTATACAGGATAAGTGCTACAAGTATACAGGTTAGGTGCTACCTATGTGTATATGCACAAGTACACATGTACACGCATTATTCCCGTGCAAAATATCAAGTGCGATTCACATGTCTGATAAACATTCACAGCCACATGTGTTTATGTATGTGTTTATGTGTAATATGTATGTATATATATATATGTGTGTGTATATGTGTGTATATATGTATATGTAAGTGTAAATATATGTGTATATGTGTGTGTACATGTATGTGTAAATGTATGTGTAAATGTATGTGTAAATGTAACATGGTGTGTTGAATACAAGTATACAAGGACAAATGTGTATATGTACAAATTACATTATAGTCTGCGTTCGTGAGTAACAAGCTGCTACTTGGGTGTTACATGCAAGTTTACAAGTACATGTACATGCAAAAAAAATACGGCCTACACTTTGACATTACATGTACACACGAGTACGACATGTGCAAATTCAACAAAATCCGTACGATTCATTCCCATGCACATATGCTTGTGTACACGAGTACAAAATTTCATTCAAGTATGAGGAAAATTGAAGAAACCTTATGAAAAGTTGTCACGATGGATAATCGGTACCTTTTATTATAAGCTTAACCCTCTTCGGCATCTTTCGAAGGTTGCGTGCTCGCTCACGCTGAGCCTCTTTCTTTGCGAAGAATTTGGCTTATTCGCAGACAAATTCTTGGCTTTTACTATAGGACTACACAACCTGTTTGATGGTATATGTTCTGGAATCCTCACCATGTACGATACCGTGGCCACACCGTTTGTGTGTACGAGATCGTAGTCTGTTAATATTTATTTGCCGACCTCGATTTTGCGCATTGTACACGCAACACCGACTTGAAGCGATAAAATCCCATGGCCCCGTCCGTTGCGTTCGAGCACGCAAGCTCAGTGTTGATATCGTGCTGTGATCGGTAGAGTTGATTACACGCGCCAGTTCGAACCATGATGTATGTGCATGTGTATATGTAAATTTAATGCACGTGTTTGTATATGTATACGTATATGTGTGTGTATTAATGTAAATTATATATGTGTGTATGCATATGTATATGTATGCATATGTATATGTGCGTGTATAAAAGTAAATTATAATGTATGTGTGTATGCATATGGATTTTTGTCGGTATAAATGTAAATCTTTAATGTGTGCGCGTATGTATGTATATGTCTTGTGTATAAATATGTGTGTAATAACGATTAATGTTTCAATTAGAAGCCGACTGAGAAGCTGGGCTTGTGTGATTGGTTTGTAAAACAAAGGGCACTAAAGTCTCCAAAACTACTTAAAAATTCAAAAAAGGATCAAGGGGCTATTTCCAAAACAAAAAAATGACCGAGAGGCCTGGATTTTGGGACTGTGTCGGTGTTTCCAAAAATTGACCGAGCGACTGGGACCTGTGTCTGAGTCTCTCGGTGAAAACAAAACCCTAAAACCCTAAAACCCTAAAGCCCCTCGGTCAATTTTGTAAAACCATTTTGTCCTTCGGTCAACTTTTTGTGTATTTTTTTAAAAACAAAATTATACAGCTCTATAGGGTCTCTCAGTCGGCTTTTTGTGTAATTTTTAAAAAACAATCCAGAGTTTCTTAGTCGGGGTTTTCTTGTGTCGTCCAATAATCTGGCCAACAAATTGGAGCCAAACATGGACAGCAAAAATCTCTTGGGTTACGAACGAACTTTGAAACGAACAATGGATGCGAGAAACTGTAAATTCAGGACAAAATACTTCATATTAAAAATTCACTTCATTCTCGTCCATATTATCGTTGCAGATGCCATACGTGCGATCGAATATCCATTTCATTCTCGTCCATATTGTCGATGCAGCTGTCATACATCCTATCGAATATCCACTTCGGTCTCGTCCACATTGTCGTTGTAGCGGCCATACATCCCATCGAATATCCACTTCATTCTCGTCCATATTGTCGTTTCTGCCGCCATACGCCACATTGGATATCCACCTCATTCTCGTCCATATTGTCGTTGCTGCCGCCATAGTACCCCACTAGCGTGCGTGAACGAGCCTGGTGTCTGACTGAATCCAGGAGGGGGTCATATGATTAAAGTGAAATATTTGGTCGATTTGAAGCAAAAGTGGGGTGTGGTCGCTGGTGCGCGTTCGGCTAAAAATGCTAGCACCAGGGGAGGCGACATAACAAGCCTGGAGTGTGAGACTTTTTTTTAACTCCAAAAATCGACAAAAAAAAAAATAAGGCAAAATAGCGTTTGGCAAAAAGTAAGGCAAAACCCAGTTTGGCAAAAAAATAAGGCAATTTCGCGTTTGGACATAAACTATGGGGGTTTTTATGTCAAAAAGGTACTCCCGAACTATAAATACTCTTTATTTAGTGCCATATTTACCATTAGGTTCTGCCCATTGAATATGTTCCATTGAGCATCTCCCGACTTTTTCATACTCGCCAGGAATTTTCGGTATTCCGCTTCAGTTTCCGATGTTTCAGATATTATGTTGAAATCCTGAGGCTTCTCTATCGACTTTAGATAGCAAACCCAACCTTTATGATCACTGATGGACTGACAGTGAACACCATGAATGAAGCCCAAGGCAGTACAAATAGATTATATTCGCGGTAGAAGGCCACTTTCTAGCGAAGCTGCAATTCCTTGCGGTTATGTAATTGAATATGAAGATGTCTTATGTTGCCGTCATCAAAGTCTCCAAAACGCTGTAAAGCTATCGTTTTGTACTTAGTCCTAAAATCTGGCTTAGAGATCCCTTCATTACATTGTCTCGCTTCGTCCGGGTAGGAGACATCTCGATCCACCACTCCTATAGCGCGAGTAGGACCATTCAATTCTTCATTTTTCGCGGCATGTTATTGCCAAATTGGCTGCGCACTCGTATGGCATATCGTACTGATGTATTACGCATTCAATATGAACAAGGCACTCGCAATGTAAATCACGCCGATGTATGTGTACTATTTACAAAAGTAATTGAGGAACTATCCAGTTAACATTTTGGTTATGCGCAAACCTGTTTTGATATCTTATCAATCGGTATCAATATCAATATTCATTATTCATTTTATAAAAGCTTTAACCGGTAAGTTGTTAAGCATAGGCTCTCAGTGTTTCTATTTCCGATATTTCTATTTTTATTCAAACACATTCGGATAAAAACAATCACTGATGGTTATAATTTTCCATTTTGTATATTAAAGGGCTGACTGCACATACGTATATAAATTTAAAGCCGAAGTGGAGAATGAGCGCGTGAGGCTTGTAGAGATGATGAAATGCTATCAATCAGAGGCTCAGGGACACATTGATTCACAACAGCAACGCGCTCTTCTAACGCAACAAAATGCTAATCATTGGGAGGAGATAGTTCTAGAAAAGCATCAGGCCGCTTTTCAAAATACCCAACTTCAAACTCAGGCATTGAATGAGATCAACAACATGAAGCAGACTAAGGCAATGTTGACGCAAGATATTGAAGATTTGAAGAACAAGAAAAGAAGCATTTGCGACGAAATCATGGGACTGCCCCAGTTTCTCACACAGCAAAAAGTGATATCTGATAAAGTCTGTGCTTTTACAATGTCAATCCGAACTCAGACTGCCAAACACCTGCGCGATATGTTGGCACAAATGTCAAAGCGGTCGGCTGAAGAACTGGACGATGCGGCTGCAGTTAAACGTCGTCGAGTTGATCCGATGGATCTATGCCCATAAATAAACAAACTACTAATAATTGTCTGATTGTCTGCAATTTACTGAATTAATTCATAAATGTCAATTCATAAATGCAAACTACATCATCGTTAATGTACTCAGAGGAATCCAAATAAATATTATATTAAATATGGGTTCAACTCTTAACAGGCAATGAACCATTGAGGGTAACCCTTATAAAAATTATAGAATGCAAAGTACTAATTATGTAGATTCAGTAAACGCAAACGTAAACGAATTGAATCGACTACACAATATTGAAATTGAGGCAATGGAAGAAAATATCAAAGAAGTAAAAGCAGAAGGTCGAAATCCAAAACAAAAAATAAATAAACTGAAGCATTTGAAGGAAAATACTTTTCCAGCCAAAGTTGCCAACTTACAACAGCGACAACACAACAACAACAACAACAACAACAACAACAACAACAACAACAACAACAACAACAACAACAACAACAACAACAACAACAACAACAACAACAACAACAACAACAACAACAACAACAACAACAACAACAACAACAACAACAACAACAACAACAACAACAACAACAACAACAACAACAACAACAACAACAAC